AACAGCAATAGCACGTAAGATTTATATACCGCTTTACAGTGCTTTACAGCCCTTTCTAAGCGGTTTACAGTCGGCATATTGCCCGCAACAATCTGGGTCCTCGGAAGGACCCGATCTCGGAAGGATGGAAGGCTGAGTCAACCTTGAGCCTGGTGAGAGCTGAACTGCCAAATTGCAGGCAGCCGGCAGCCAGCAGAAGTAGCCTGCAGTACTTCACTCTAAACACTGTGCCACTGTGGCTCATTTTAATGTGCTAGTGAGGAATTTTAATCAGTATCTATTCATTGGAGAAGTCTTCCCAGATGGGAGGCTTCCATTAAGCATGTCTCTGAATTAAGCTCTACATGAAATGAAGGCAGCACTAAGGAAGAGAGACTAAAGTTAAGGACAATAAAATATCTCATCTTCCCAGGCTACTGAGCACTTAATGCTCAGGAATACGTGGTTCAGTTGCTTTAAGCACATGCAAATACGTATTCAAAACTGGGCATTTGTTTTCGGCGGGTGTTTCATAATAACTTTTAAAATGTAAATCCAGACTCACTTCTACAGCAGCACCTCTTTTTCTAGGGAGAAGACCTAACCACAGATTTTGTAAGTAATCTTTTAAATAATGCACACTGGAAGTAGATCAGGCAGGTAAATCACCTGGGACATTCTGCTGGGGAAGAGTGCCCGCGCCATACAGGGACAAGATGGAATCCTTGGACAACAGTTTCTTTGCTGACTCTTCCGATTTTGTTTGTTCAGTAAACAGATCAAGATCTCCAGATGCAGCAGATAACGTGGCAGCCGCTGGGTTGGTGGAAGCATTCTGGGAAATAAAAGTCAAAGACTGATGAAACACGACGGGTGAAGACAGAAGTTTGTCCTTAAAAATTGCCATAATTTTTGGGAGTATAAGACCCCTCCCCCTTAAAAGAGGCTGATAATTTGGGTGTGTCTTATACTCCAAATGCAGCTTTTTTGAAACTTTTCTTCAGCCCTAATGAGGTGCTAACAAGTGAAGCGATCTTCCGTGCTTTGCCTGCTTTTCTCAATGCTGCTCCGTCTGGGACAATCAGCTGTGCTTTAGAAGCTGTTACAAGCTCAAAACCAGCAAATTTATAAGCTGAAGCTGATCAGACTAAGGACACTAGCCACGTGGTAGGCAGAATTCCCCTCCCCCCATTTTCCTCCTTAAAAACTAAGGTGCGCCTTATACTTTGGTGCATCTTATACTCCAAAAAATACGGTATATAGCAAGTAGCAAAGTTCCCAAACATTACTATTTTTTTACACTACATAAATAACACCAGCATCAATAAGTTGTATGTTCTTCGCATGTCACAATAGTAAAAATATAAAAATAAGAGTAGTTCCATATTTTATGCAGCAAGTCTATTATTTGCAATAAAGATGTAAAAGCTATATTTTCTGTTTATATCTGTATATCTGGAAACTGGCTAGATTAAGGTCACATGGCCATCTTTATGTCAGTTTATATTCCATCAACATTCTGTGGCTTTCTTAAAAAGTCCCTTACTTACTTCCATGTCACTGCTAGAATTCTTTTGGGGATCCGCCTTACAATGCCTTACTTTTTCAGAATAAATTATCATTAGGCGAAAATTCAATTCTATCCTTTTCCTCAAGTGACTTAAAGAAATATTTGAAAAAAGGAACTTCTTACAACTGAAATACTGAACAAATTTTTCACCATGAATCAGTTTTTCGCAAATGTAATTAAATGAACGGGATTGGCGTCTGTAAACCGCCACTTATTCTTAATTAATAAAATTCATGGAAAGAAAGTCTCAAATAGTTTATAAAGGTGGGACTCCCAAAGTTTTTAGGTGTGTTTCAAAAAAAGAGACACACATCCCTATCATAATCACAATCAGTTTTGCATTGCCCCCTGCACAGGATTGATGAAAGAGTAACAGATCAAATAGTTTGAAAACTAGAAATTATTACAATTTAATGATATGTTCATCTTTCCTTCAATTTGCAAGGTATAAATTGGCACCTAGGTTAATAGCTCATTATTCCCAATCTAGCCAAGGATGAGTGAAATAAAGACTTCTTCAAATAATCTCCAGTTCTTCTTCTGATATAAGGAGCTATTTTTGACCTTACATTTATTTTAAAAGGCAACATAAAAATATAATGTGTTTCATTGGTAACCACTAATTTTGGGGAGTCTCGACTGAAGTATCAAGGTCAAACATTCTTAACTTTTTTCCAATCAGCTATTAAATTTTTCCTTAGTGCTGCTGTGGAGGGAGGTATTATAAATTGCTGCAGCTATTATAGCTCTAAAAGGGACGCGGTAGCTCAGTGGCTAAGACTGAGGTCTGCAGTTCGGCAGTTCAAATCCCTAGCGCCACATAATGGAGTGAGTTCCCATTACTTGTCCCAGCTTCTGCCAACCTAGCAGTTTGAAAGCACATAAAAAGAAATACAAGCAGAAAAATAGGGACCACTTTGGTGGCGAAGGTAACAACATTGTGCGCCTTTGGCATTTGGTCATGCTGACCACATGACCACAGAGACATCTTCGGACAGCGCTGGCTCTTTGGCTTTGAAATGAAGATGAGCACCGCCCCCTAGCGTCGGGAACGACTATCATATGTGCGAGGGCAACCTTTACCTTTAATAGCTCTTAACAACTTCAACAACAATAATTCATTTAGCAACTGTTTGGATTTAAAGACAGCACTGAGAGAATGATCCTTACACCTGGTACCTAAAGTTATGGATGCTGCATGGTCACATGACCAAAATTTGCGCAGTAGGGAGCTCACCCAGACTTATGACCAGAGGGGCACACAACTCTCCTCATGTTTCTATATCTACCCCACTCCATGCCTGCCCCTTTGGCTGCTCTGCACAATAATACTCAGCAAATCCAATGCTGGGGTTGAAATAAGAGGCCTGGGGCATGGATGAAGATGGGTCCTTGCCGAATGACCCGTTGTATTCTGTTTAATGATGGTGTCGGGGACAGCTGCGATGATCATTGCTAAGTTGTGCTGCCATGTGACCTCACGCTTTACGATCTCACTGTACAGCAATGGAATTTCCAATTACTGTCGTAACTTGAGGACTACTTGGACACCGACACTGGCAATATGCTGCTTTGACCATGTAATCTGTATCCCTAGCTCCCAATGTAACCGTGACAGCGTGCCAAACACTAACATAAATAATTTCTCCTTCTGTTGCTTTTATTACGACTTCCAAAGTCAAGCTTCCATGTTAAATTAATAGTTTTTGCAACCTTACCTGGGCCGATGGTACAGATGCGGCTGGCAAAGGATTAGAGATCATTGGGCCAAATATATCCAGATCATCGTCATTCAGAACTGGGGCAGGAGTGATGGTGCTTCCATTTGTAACAGAGGCGTCAGCAGGACCATCTTACATTTTTGGGGTTAAAAAAAGAAAATTAAGCCAGATTGATAATTGTGAAGCATAAACACATAGCGTGGAGGTACAGTGAGAAAAGGCACCATACAGGTAGTTCTCGATACCCCCTCGCTCTCACCCAAAAGGTAGTTCGACTTGGTTCTGAAGTTCCAATGGCCACCACCATCCCTCACCCGCATTTCAGATGCTTGGCAACCTTTGTGGCCATTTGTAGCATCCTGCAGTCATGTGACCACAATTTCTAACATTTTTGTTGAAAACCAGCATTTACTTCCTTCTTTGGCAAAAGCAAAAGGTCGTAAAATCAGATTGGTCACATGGCTGACCTGCTTTATGACTGTCGTGGCTTAGGATGGGCAGGTTCCATTAGGGTTGTAAGTCAAGGACTACCTGCATGTTGGCAGAAATCACCAAGTGTTTCATAAATTGTATTTAGGCTCCACCAACATCAATACTAAGCCAACACCTAATATTACTCAAATTTACAACAGTGGAAGTGCAATCTTTCCATAGTCTCTTGGAAAATCATAAACAAGACAGAATGTAGCACTTAATTCAGAGCTTGTAAAATTAGGCTGAAGTTGCTAAAGATTTCCCATCTGTATTTTACAGATGCAATAATAGCCTGCTTGAGGCAAGATCTGTCTTAAAGATACTGTGAGTTTGAGATCAAAGTTACACAGACTCAAAACAATTTGTGAGTGGAAGAAAAGTAAAAAGGGTTTTGGTTTCCAGGATCCCAAGCTGTAATCACAATATGCGCAGTGGCCAGAAACAGACACCCAACCTATTCCAAACACATAGGAAATTTTATTCCTCTTTATTTAGGTAATTCAAAAGGGAGATAAACCACTAGTTTGAAAAATACCATATTTTTCAGAGTATAAGATGCACCGGAGTATAAGATGCACCAAGATTTTGAAGAGGTAAATTTTTTAAAAAAGGTTTTGCACACTACAGACCTCCCCAAAAACAGCCCGTTTTTTGTCAAAAAAGGGCATGCATACCCTTTAGGAGTCTTCCAGAGTGCCCCTTGGGGCTGGGGGAGGGGGCAAAAATGAGAAAAAAACAGCTTGTTTTTCACACATTTCTGCCCTCCCCAGCCCCAAGCCTTCTACAGGTTCTGCATGGCCATTTTTGCAAAGGGGACAGGGTTTTGGGAGGCCAAAAATGCTGTATTCAGTGTATAAGACATACCCAGATCTTCTCCCTCTTTTTTGAGGGAAAAAGGTGCATCTTATACTCCGAAATTTACGATAAGTGGTAGCTGACTAAAAAATAATGCAATTTTTCTTTAATTTTTTTTGATGAGTGAAATTTCTGTGATAGCTTTAAGATCCAACCTCCTTCAAGTCCAAAGTTAGAAACAGCCTCAGCATAAAGTCTCAATTTGATAAACATTAAATTAAATCCCTCTAGATATCCATGTTATTTTTTCTCTCTCTCTTCTCTCAGCATGAAATCTGCAGCGGACTATTGAACTATTTTTAACATATTCATCTACGTACATAGATTTACAAAACTGCAAACTAATACTGCAAACTACGCTTTGAAGTTTGCTTTTAGTTCCAAAGGAGTACAGCTCTGTAATTTATGCATTTATTTATAACATATCACACATTTTCACTATAAAGGTGAATTTCTTTTTTCTTTTTTTTTTAAGCCGTCTTCCCTTTGGGATGTACTTCTTCCTGCACTGAATCTGAAGGTAAAATTCTTGGAAAAAATACCTCAGAATGAAGGACCATCTAAATATCTACATTAGACTTAAAAAACAAAATGTGATCTACAACAATATCCTAGATGTAGGGCAACACCAAATATATAAATTCTGGCATTGAATGTTGGTCCGGAACAATTCATAAATAAAATAAAGTTTAGAGTGAATGTAGGACATCCCCAAGAGGATCTGTCAAACCTCTCTTTCTCTCTCTCTTTGATCACTCTCTGTATTAGAGCAAAAGTCTTTAGGAGGTTAATACATTAGAGGCAGGCAGAATATCATCTCTGAAATTATAAACACATAATTTCAAGGCAATAAAAGTAGTTTTTCCTCTTAGTGCTCCTAAATTCTTCTGGAATGTATCATATTAAAGTAGGCTTTCAGGAATCAGATTCTTCAGCAACTTTATAGTAGCGCTACTACGGTAGAATAATATTTATCCACTTTATAGTACTTAGAAATAAGTTTATAACGGCCAGAAAATTCCAGAAGAAAGTTGTCTCAAAAAACATAGTTGATCTAATAATTCTAGTTTGCTTGAAAAAATACAACTGTGTTGATATTTTTTTGCCCCAGTTACTTCTGTTTATTCAAATAGCAAAAGACAGCATAGGTTTTCTTGTGTCCCTGCAGTACCTACGTTAAAATATATATTTTAAATCAGCTCAAAAGCTTAGCATATGCTGTATGTGCAGTGGATTCACAGAAACTGGAAAAGCTTTGCAACATTCATGAAGATGTTTTTTTAACGAGTTAGTTTCCAAACCTTCAGAATTTGGGACAGTGTGTTGTAAACATAATTAATGGAAAGATGAAAATAGTCTATTTGGCCTATTTAATTTCTACTGGATCTGCTAAGTGTATTTTTATACCATTTTCTGTGTAGTCATCACAGAAGTTAAATACATGTTTTACATGCATATATATTATACATACACATGTGTTACACACATAAACACAGATGAAACCAATGCATTTAAACACTGCAGATTTATAAAAGAGAGCAGAAAAACAAACTAAATAATTTTTCCATGATATTCACCCAAGGAAAGCCAGGATGAACATAGGCACTTAGAGAGATTCCCTAATTTCCTTAGTGTCTCAGTATGTTTTTCACAAAACCCTTAGATCAAAATTGTAATTAATAACCCCACAGTGACCTTGTACATGAGATGCCCTGGGGTGCCACAATGTAGAAATTTTGTGAACTATAGATTTGACAATACAACAGTAGTCATCTTGTGGATTTCAGTGGAAAAAGAAGAGCGTAAACTGCAATTACTATAAGTGAATGTTATACGTTATTGCTTATAGCAAGGTCTTTGTGAATTAACTTAGTGATCATCTAAGTTTATCTAAGTTTATTCCCCCATTATGAAGGCCTGCTTGGCAGACATGGGATGCAAGTTCTACTAAGACAGCCTTCAAAATAACAAAGCCTGTTGCAGAGCCGAGGTGGCGCAGTGGTTAGGGTGCAGTACTGCAGGCCACTTCAGCTGACTGTTATCTGCAGTTCAGCGGTTCTAATCTCACCGGC